GAGATGCCTCACAGTCCCATCTCCGATGCAAATGAGGCTAGGGGAGTTTCCTTAATCCTTGTCCGGAGGGGTTTACGTATTTCTCCCACGGCCTTTTCGTTGCTTTTTGTGAGTCTTTCTTCTGATCAGCTTTGGTTCAAGCAGAGGCTGAGGTGGGGGGTGGGTGGGAAGGTCTTTCGTGAGTCAGACAGGCTGGATACTGCGCCCTGGTTCCCCAAGAGCACAGAGCTGATAGGTAACTTCCCCTCTGCATGGCGGCTGAGCCCTGCCTGGGACAGATGTTCCCAGGGGTGTAGCCAGACCCAGGTGGGCAGGGCCTGGAGGGGGCCTGGCTGGGGGCAGCTGACTCAGCAGGGAGGGAGGCAGCAGCACAGTTCCTGAGCGGGTGCCCCCAGTCCCGGGGCAGGGCTCTCGCTCTCTCCTCGGCCCTCTGGCTGGGGTGGGGGGCACATGGGGTGGGGGAGGTAGGAGCAGTAGCACATGGACCCGGCGTCTCCCCTTTCACACTGAGCCTCGGCATCTCTTTGTGGGATGGGGTCTCAGAACTGTCCTCATCTGGGCTGCTCAGGGCTCCATGTCCCCCTCCTCTTCCTAGGGGCACTGCACAGGAGCTGGGATCTTCTCCGAGGGGCACGGAACGGGCCAGGGGAGGGGTCACAGTATGGACAGGGACTGATAGGGTAGCCAACTTTCTAGTTGCACAAAACCAAACACTCTAGCCCCACCCCTTCCCAGAGGTCCTACCCCCTGCTCACTACATCCCCCAACCCTTGATGGCTCACTCTCCCCCACCGTCACTCACTTTCACTGGGCTGGGGCAGGGGATTGGGGTGTGGGAAGGGGTGAGGGGGTGAGGGCTCTGGCTGGGAGTGCGGACTCTGGGGTGGGACTGGGGATGAAGAGTTTGGGGTGCAGGAGGGGGCTCGAGCCTGGGGCAGGGGGTTGGCATGCAGGGGGGTGAGGGCTCTGGGCTGGGGGTGCAGGCTCTGGGGTGGGGCTGGGGATGAGGGGTTTGGGGTACAGGAGGGGGCTCTGGGTTTGGGGGTTGCTCAGGCCTGGGGTAGGGGGTTGGGGCTTGGAGGTTGGGGCGCAGGCAATGGGAGTGCGGAGCCGGTGCTCAGGGCAGGGGCAGCGCGTGGAGTCTCGTGGCCCCCCAACCTAGGAGCCAGACCTGCTGCTGGCTGCTTCCGGGGCGCAGCGCGGAGCCAGGACAGGTAGGGACTAGCCTGCCTTAGTGACGCAGCACCGCCGACCGGACTTTTAGCGGCCCGGTTGGCAGTGCTGACCGGAGCCACCAGGGTCCCTTTTCAACTGGGTGTTCCGGTCGAAACTCGGACACCTGGTCACCCTAGCAGGAACGGCCCAGCCTGCCCCACCTCACGGGTCATTTCTGTTTTTCTTTCTAGGTTTCATGACTTGGGACAACGACTCCTGTAACGATAGAAACCCGTTTGTCTGCAAGTACAGGCCTTAGGGGAGGCAGCTCGCCTGGCCCTGAGGGCTCCCCTGGGCTGTGAGCGAATCAGGTCCCTCCGGCTCCCCGGGGAGACCAGATCCTGCGTCCCCGGCTGCAAAGTCCCTTCTGCAAAGCATCGCTGTGTTACGCTGTGTCACTCCCGCTCTGCTCTGCCCCCTTCTCTCCCTGTCGCACCCACGCTCTGCGCTTCTCAGCATCTGAAGCAATAATAAACCAGAAATAGCACGGTCTGACTGTATTTGCTGTTACTGCTGCAGAGAATGAAGAGGGGAAATCCGAGGGGATTTTACAGCCGGGTTTAATAATCAGAAAGGGAGAGGCGCAATCGGAGGGATTTGTTCGACGTCTGACAACTAGAGAGAGAAAAGGACAAGCTGGGGGCTTTCAATGAGAGTCAAGAAATCAATAGAAATGGCAACGTTGGAGGAGAAGATTATGATTTTTCACCAACGTTTGACACGGGGGCGGGGGGGAAGGGCTCAAATCCCCGGGGATTTTATATCTATATTCTCCCGGTATGTTTCTGTTAACGCTTCGGGCCTCTGTCACTCAGTGAGTGTCACCTTTGGCCCTTGGCAGGCTGACGGCTGTGGGAGCTGAGCACAGCTGTTTCCCTCCCAAACCAGGGGATGCTGCTGCTAGAAAGGGGGCAGAATCTGGGGGGCTGAATGCCAGTCTGATGGGGAGAGAAAGGGGGGATGTGCCCCCAGCTGCCGTTCCGACACACAGCAGGGAGCCCTGGGGAGGATGGAGCCGGACGCAGCTGGGGGTGGGTCGATGGCAAACGTACCCATCTAGGGGGCTGGGGGAGTTTTATTGACATAAAGGGGAAAACAATTGGATCCCCAGATCTTTGGGGGGGATGCTGAAAGGGCGTTTGTATGCACCCATCCCTGCCCCACTCCCTCGGCAGTAATGCCTGAAGGAGACGCTTTCCCTGCAGAAGCAGAAGTTGCTGCAGTTTAAAAGGGAGAGAAGGAGGTAAAACCGGAGGGGACTGCAGACCAGTCAGTGCTAAAGGAAGGGATGGTTCCTCCACCCTGCCGTGGCCCCCCGCCATTCACACTGGCAGCAGGGAGGCCTGGGGGGTGCTGCTGTTAGCAGGGCAGGAAGGGGGATGGAGCCGGAAGGTTCTGGGACAGCCTGGGGGTGGGGGTGGGGAGGTGATTGGCGGCTGGGGGGCAGTGCAGTTTGGCTGGGGGGGCGGTGACAGTGCAGCAGCTGGGACGAGATAAACGGGCTGGGCAGCCTCGGTGGGGAACGTGGCTCTTCACGTCCCCCCCGGAGACCCTGCCGGGGCGCTGAGGTGAGAACGTTGATCCGGGGGGAGTGTTAACCTCCCTGCCGCCCGCCAGCTGGGGTAACGAGTCAGGGCAACAGGCTTCCTCCATAACGGAGGGTGTTGGGGGGGGGTCTCATTCACTAAGTACAGAGAAATGGGGGTGAACTTGAACTTTCTATCAGTGTCTGATTATTACAGGGACTGGGGCAAATCTGAGGAGATTTTAGTACCAATATTTCATTTCTAGGGGTGCCCCGGCCCCCTGCTGCTACTGGAGTCACGCTGCTGCAGGTGATGTGTGTGAGGGGGGCAAGCAGGGTCACATACCCCCTCCCCTGATTTGCCGCTTGGCTTGTACTGTGCATGCTCAGTAACACTGCTGAAGCCGGCTGGCCTCACTCTGCCCCCCCCCCGCTATCGGCTGGCATGGGTGGTCTCTGGGTGGGAGAGAACCCCCCATTTCAGGGTTCAGGTCAGGGGGTTGCCCTGAATGTCCCAGAGCTTGCCCTATCCCATCAGTACTGATGGAGTGTCCCCCCCACATCTGACAGAGTGTTTCCGTGGGGGACAGGGACATGGGATGCACGGCTCCAGGTGGCAGGAGAAGGATTTTCACGGGGAGAAAAGAAATCAGCCACTGAAGGCCTTTTTATTGTAAGCAGGGTTTGAATGAATACTTCCCTGACAGCTAGCTGGGAGGGGAAGAGACTATCAGTGTGTTTATGGAAATACAGTTTGCTCCTGCTCTGTTTACATATTCATCAGATACAGCTGTGTCAGGATTTCCCCCACCCCACTCTGAACTTTGGGGTACAGATGAGGGGACCCGCATGAAAGACCCCCTAAGCTTATATTCTACCAGCTTAGGTTAAAACTTCCCCAACACACAAATTGCTTTTCTTGTCCTTGGATGGTATTGCTGCCACCACCAAGTGTTTTACACAAAAATTCAGGGAAAGGTCACTTGGAATCCCTATCCCCCCCAAAATATCCCCCCAAACCCCTTCACCCCCTTTCCTGGGGAGGCTTGAGAAGAATATATCAACCAGTTGGTTAGCAATGTGAGTACAGACTAGACCCTTTGTCTTTAGGACACTGAAAATTAATCAGGTTCTTAAAAGAAGAACTTTATAATAAAGAAAAAGTAAAAGAATCACACCTGCAAAATCAGGATGGAAGGTAACTTTACAGGGTAATGAAATGATTTAAAACACAGAGGACTCCCCCCTCTGGACTCAGCTTCACAGTTACAAAAACAGGACTAAAACTACCTGTGTAGCATAGGAAAATTCACAAGCCAAAACAAAAGATAACCTAACGCATTTCCTTGCCTTACTTGCAATTTCTGTAATTTTAGATGGATGATTCCAGGTATGTTTTCAGGAGATGTTTTACCTGCTTGGTCTCTCCCTCCGTCCGGAGAGGGAACAAACAAAGAGAGCCACACATAAATTCTCTCTGTCTCTCCCCCCCCAGATTTGAAAGTATCTTCTTTCCTCATTGGTCCTTCTGGTCAGGTGCCAACTAGGTGCTTTGAGATACATATCCCCTTACAGGTAAAGTGCTTCTGTACAGCTGCCAAAGAGGGATTTTATGCTACCCCTTTCTTTATATTTATGACAAGCTCCCCAAATCACAGACGGTGCCGGACAGCCTGTTTCACACTGGCTATGATTTCTTCCTGGAGCTCTAGGAGAAAACAGGGTTAATACGACACATGCACCTTTAGACATACTACTGATTATATAAAAACTAACAATATATTCCACATTTTAAGGATGATTTTAACCAGTTGATTTTAGGAAACTTTCATGGGAGAGTGCATCAGCCACTTTGTTAGAAGCTCCTGAAATGTGTTGTATTTCAAAATCAAAATCTTGGAGAGCTAAACTCCACTGAAGAGGTTTTTTGTTATTTTTCTTGACGGTATGAAGCCACTTCAGTGCAGCATGGTCGGTTTGCAGGTGGAAACGCTGTCCCCAAATGTATGGGCGTAGCTTCTCCAGAGCATACACAATGGCGTAACATTCCTCTTCTGTGATAGACCAGTGGCTTTCCCTCTCAGACAGTTTTTTGCTGAGAAACACGACAGGATGGAATTCTTGATTCAGTCCTTTCTGCATTAAAACTGGTCCCACACCATGCTCGGACGCATCTGTGGTTACTAGGAAAGGTTTGTTAAAGTCTGAGGCCCTTAGCACAGGGTCAGACATGAGTGTTGTTTTAAGCTGGGTAAAGGCCTTCTGACACTCTTCAGTCTACTGAACTGCATTTGGCTGTTTCTTTTTGGTCAGGTCTGTCAGTGGGGCAGCGATTTGGCTGTAGTGCGGTACAAATTGACTATAATATCCGGCCAAGCCTAAGAAGGATTGGACCTGGTTTTTTGGCTTTGGGACAGACCACTTTTGGATAGCATTCACTTTGGCCTGTAGGGGGTTGATAGTTCCTTGACCCACCTGGTGTCCAAGGTAAGTTACTGTGTTTAGGGCTATTTGACACGTTTTAACCTTAACATCTGTCTTGCATCTGAAGAAGTGAGGTTCTTACCCACGAAAGCTTATGCTCCCAATACTTCTGTTAGTCTCAAAGGTGCCACAGGACCCTCTGTTGCTTTTAACCTTAACAGTTAGTCCTGCCTCCATTATGCGCTCGAAGACTTTTTGTAGATGCTTCAGGTGTTCTGCCCATGAATCAGAAAATATGGCCACATCGTCAAAGTAGGCGACTGCATATTCTCCCAATCCTGCTAGGAGACTATCTACAAGTTTTTGGAAGGTGGCGGGTGCATTTCGCAGCCCAAAAGGGAGCACATTAAATTCATACACCCCTGCCTGGGTGATGAAGGCTGACCTTTCCTTGGCGGGTTCATCTAGTGGTACTTGCCAGTACCCCTTGGTTAAGTCTAAGATAGAGATGAACTGGGCATGTCCCAGTTTCTCCAATAGCTCATCTGTGCATGGCATTGGATAGTTGTCTGGGCAAGTTACAGCATTTAGCTTATGGTAGTCCACGCAAAAGCGTATTTCCCCATCTGGTTTGGGAACTAGAACCACTGGAGATGCCCATGCACTTTCAGAGGGGCGGATTAGCATGTCCTGGATCTCCCGTTCTATAGCAGTTTTGGCTTGAGGAGCCACCCGGTAAGGTTGGGTGAGCATTGCCTGTGTCAATGGAGTGGTATGCCCGTTCGGTCCGTTCTGGGGTGGCTGAGAACATCGGCGCAAAGCTAGTGCACAGCTCCTTGATCTGCTGTCGCTACATATGTCCGAGGGTCATGGAGAGGTTCACCTCTTCCACGCCACCATTACTTTTTCCTTCATAGTAGACACTTTCGGGCCATTCAGCGTCATCTCCTCCCTGGGCTGTAAACTGAAAAACCCTGAATTCTTTGGAATAAAAGGGCTTTAGAGAATTAACATGGTACACTTTACCCTTTAGGTTTGAGGTGGGGGACGCTATGAGATAGTTAACAGCTCCCAGGTGCTCTTGGACCGTAAATGGCCCGTCCCACGATGCTTCCATCTTATGGGTCTGGAGCGCCTTCAAGACCATGACCTGGTCCCCTACTTTGAAGGAATGCTCTCTGGCATGTTTATCAAACCAGGCTTTTTGCTCTTTTTGAGCATCTTTTAGGTTTTCTTTAGCAAGGGCTAAAG